GCAAACTGAATATAAGCCACTCAGAAAACACATTCTTAGATGGAAGACAGTGTGATAAGTTTACTTCTTCTCTGTCCTTATATTGCGATACCATTCTCTGTCCAGCTTCAAACTCTATATATATGGACAGCCCTACTTTCTGTGTCGTCACGAACTCTCAATGTCAAACCGCTGTCCTTTAAATCCAGGTATCATACCATTTCCCCGTGTGACGAAAGCTTTATCCAGGGTACGCAGGACCGCAAATTGGAAAGTAAATCCTGGCAGAGGTATTTGAAAATGCGCTGACATATCCGTAATGTAGCTACTGGCTGGTGAGTTCTCTTCAATTATATCTCGACAGACATATTCAAAGCATTGCTACTATACAATATTTTACGGTAGCCAGCGTTAAGTATCGTCAATGTCAAAGCTATGATCAAGCATGGGTCAAGTTTTCTCATCAAATTGCAGATGAAATATCTAAAAACCTAAAATCGAAGCTTCATACAAAGACGGAAGTCAGATATCCTTCAGAGTTTTCGATTAAGACGATTAAGTTCCGCTAGGACGTGACGTAACTAGATCCGTCCGTCTGCGTCATGACAAGGGTATGTGGAAGCACTGTGGTTTGATTACAAATTTGTTAACGGTTGCCTTTGTCAGGCATCAGGGCACAATTACAATGCCTGCGATCGTTTTTGTGCTCTGCAATCTTCCGTCGTAAACACAGTTTAATTGACGGCATCCTAGATTGCCAAAACGATCGAATGAATTTCGCAATTGATTGGTTGATTGATTGATTGATTGATTGATTGATTGATTGATTGATAAAATTGGACCTTTTTCAGTTCAATATGTGTCATCTCAACGTCATGTAGGGTATTTCTACAAAGCTCATGTTCGATACATGACCTAACATTGAACATTGGCTGAAGATTGGTTACACTAACGATTTTCTTAGTAAGACTGGTCGAGGTAACCCGTACAAGGTTCCACTCATGACGCAAGTCTAAAGGCCACCATTTCTGATCAGATGAGGGATAAAACGTTATTGGTTGAAATTTGAATCGGTCATCTTTGAACAAGTATAAAACAGGTCAAAATGTGAGATACTGTGGTTTTCTTTTTACGCAACCGGTATAGACTCTCAGCTGCTTACGTTTCCATGCCTGGCAGACATTGCATTTCGGAGGTCAGAATGTGACATACGAAGGGCTTGGCCTTCTGAATCTAGAGTTCTTACTGTGCGAAAAGCATTCCACACAAAGCACCTCAGAGACCAAACGTTACATCATGTGTAGTATTGTGCACAACAATATCGGCGTTGCAAAAGTGCACATTTGATGCAAAAGCTTCACCCACACGTGTCACGATGCTGAAAAGCAATTTCCGCCTTTACTTTATCATCCCTTCAACATCCCACTCTCTCCCTAAGCATGACACTTCCCTATCCAATATCCGATGAATCATATTCCTTAGACCGGTTTATTGAATGGAAGCGCATTTATACAGCTAAAAGGGACATCTAGATCACATTACCACAGTCCAAGTACATTCCCTGGGTAGGAAATAAAGTCACAAAGGAAATACGTCAACGTCAAAGATATAGGGACTGAATTTGATAACATTCAGAAGTGATAACCGTGGGATATGGGATTATATTAGCTGCCTGTGCTACTTTCTTCAAAGTTTTCTTACACGAGAAATGTATGTACTAACCACTTCCTGCCATGGATGTTCAGCAGATTTCTCTTACCGCATTTGCTTGTGGAGCTGGTTTTTGTCACCGTGAATGCTTTCCGACATATATTGAATATTTAGCTGTCAGGCCGGTAAAAAGCACCTGGACTACGTACCATGAATCAAGCATTTCCTGACACCATGTCACCGTGAAAGAATGTTGATGCGTGGTGCTTGTTGAGCTGGAGGCCGGGATCACTAAGTGGACTATACATCATGACTATGAAGTCCTAAACTGAATAACAAATGATTCAGCTTTTAGAAAAGACATGTCTGTATAGGGTTTGAAAACAACTCGGTACATACCATATGCATCTTAGATCAGTAAAAAAATCAGGGCGACGATGAGTATTATGGTGGTTTGCAGATGATATTGCCAGTTTTGCGAATATTTCACCATAACTAAGACCTCAGCTGGAACAAAAAAATTATGCAATTTGCTAATGAACTATATTCATCACATTATGTCTGAAAGATCGCCGCCATTGTCACAGAATGAAACTTTTATACTTTGAGATACTCTTTATACTATAAGAGTATGGCTGCAGTCTCTTCACGTAGACCAGGTACACAGGTACCCGCTGGTGGGTCTGGTGCGGTAAATCAGTGAGATTGCAGCAGGAGTCAATGTCAGGCACTGGCAAATTGACTACTTTGTAGCAGACTCCTGACAGATATACGGTTATGAAGGATCCGCCCTGAATCTTGCAGCAGGTGGGACTTTGCCAGGTGGGCACGGTGCGACGATTGTTGAAACACCCAGTCGTAGCGTAAAAGTGACAAGACTTTGGGTAGTCCGTATTCTGAAGTTTCTTTTGGCACGAGTTCTAGATATAGTTCTTCAGGTTTGATAAACTACATCCGACCACTATTACTCTGCAAGATGGGTACGGTGAGGCGGTTGTTGAAGTACCCAATCGTAGCGTAAAAGTTCCGACTTTCTAGTAGTTTAAATTGGTCAATTGACTAACGACTATGCTCTAATCAGTAACCATAGCCTGAACTAGCCTCCACCAGACTACTTTGCAGGCTGACTAAGAAGTAGAAATCGGCCTAAAAAGAATGTAGCTGGCCAAGGGAGCCTACTATTAATTCAGCCTGCACTGAAGAGTCTGGTGGAGACTAAGCCTGAGCAATGGCGACGCACGATCAGGTCTTACAAAACCCCAATACTTTACACTGACCTACAAATTAAAAGACGTGAATATGTTATTGGTATTTAGCAGTATAAGATAGCCTACTGTCATTATGTCGTGAAGATGAATCACACAATCTATATCATCAACTTGGAAATCTATCTCAATGTCCCTTTTAGCATTCATCTGCAATTAGATTTCTGAAAAAAATGATTCCCAATACGTCAATGTACGAGTTAGAGAAGTTTGACAAGTGTTGACACTTTGAGTGACGGTGATTAATACATTCCCGTTACCATAATCACCACCTTGAGAGGTGACCTATATACCCACTGACGGGACATTAATCGCTTTAATCTTACCAATAAATATCCCAATTCAGACAAGCTCAAATGCATCCATATTTCCTTTGAATGTCATTGCGGTACGACACTCCGGTGCCATAACAATCAACGACTACATGGTGCTTCAAACTCTTCAGAGGTTCAGGTTTAGCCCTTACATTCACGGGGAGACGTATTGATGACAAACTGCGTGGGGACGTGAGAAGAAGTTCAACTTGATCAGAGGGTCAGTGGACGGGTCAATAAGGCCATGAATATTTGAACTATCAAGTAGGCTCTCCACATGAGAAGTCATGAACGTAATCCGCACCGTTCAGCCGAGCATTCGGTATCAAAGGGCACCGCCGAATACACAATTGTGCTTTCCTGTGCGCTTTTCTCCGCCAAGTATTGTTACGTGTATAAATGCGCCTATTGACCTGCGTGCCACGTACTGATTCAGCTTTGATGACCTTCTGGCGCATTTGAACCCCCTTACATGACCTTAAGATCAATTAAACGCACTTGGCTGTGGCTATCGACACGGTGATATCTTTTCCAACGCCCAATTAAGTCTGCGTACAGATAAACAATCAGTCAACGCCATTCATTAGCTAGCAGCTAAGTCGGGAACATTGCGCCATTTACATGTGGTTTAATAAACCAAAGCCATGTTTGCATTGAACGTGGATAATCTCAATACCTAACATTGGAAATTACAGTATGGTCATTATTTCAGGGTATGGGAGTATTGTTTGGGGCGGGATTGTCTGTCGTTGGGTTTGTGTGCATGCTTGTGCCGAGAGTGGATTGACAGTACGTGGGTGGGGAAGATTTACAGGGTGAATGACATGAGGTCAACAGGCCAGAACACAGGAAATTGATCATGCATGAAGGTTCCAGAATCTGGCCGAAAGCCACCAGGGATTAGGGGCCGACATTCAGGAAGCTGAGGATTGCACGAGCGACCCTCGCACACTTTCTGTCCTGGTCTAGATCAAAGTACGTCAAACAATCTCCTAGGTAGATATACATGTAGATTCACGAAATCCCTCAATACTTCCTGGAAGTCTAAAATCTTCTATTTCTTGTTACCTTTGCATCACGTTTCAAGTCTATCGTAATCGATCTGCATGTGGTGTTTGTTGCACAGCATCATTCAGCTTACTTTTCACCATTACATTGAGTACAAGTTTACGTTTGTTATGCTGCAATCAATGCATACTACATATCTTCATTTTCTAGAAGAGGAAGCGTTCATTACCAAAACAAGGTAAGGCAAGTTGCTAGCTTCTTCTCGAGTCCCCAAACTTCTCTAGTCCAGACAATACCTCATGTACGTGATGTCTTTATAAGGTGAATGTTGGGAGACGATGTCTCTGCAAGATACCTTGGTAAGGTTCCTCCCAATTAGTAACCTTGTATGTAGTTATACGATTAATTTCCCCTATCTGGCGCCGCGTGCGATTTCATTACACCTTTGAGCTAACCTTTTGAAATGGAGGCTAATTCTTTATCTAAGTGAGTAGTTACTACAATCATTATTCTTACATGCTTCTTTTGTAACGTATCGCCCTTTCTGTGTGCTTTAGAGTTTTCCACGTTAGAGAAAACAATTTATAACACGTGACCAGTGTGGGTCGTGCTCGCCAGTTTATCAACTGACACGTTACATTCCGTCTGCATGCCAGAAAACGTCGTCATAACTCCGCCAGTTCGCCAATCATGACTGCCGTGGTTAGGGAGAACAGGCCAGGAGCAAATTGGCGGATTGGTGCGCCACCAGCCGGTCACCCAGCCGTCCCCAGCAGCACGGCACTGGGGTGAGACTCCCGCCAGGCTGACGTGTTTTACTACCGGCGTGTCTGTCTGAAGGACGCTGCAGGCAGTGACGAGGCTTAGCCAGGATGTCGCTATCGTGGATTGTCGCTGTTCTTGTCATGTCCACGTGCGCCATAGGAGGCACCGCTGGCACAGGTACGTGTTTTATATGGATACACCAATAATAACATTATGTTAGCTAAACTAAGGTTACGTGCAAAGACGAAATGTCAAATGCGTTAGTGCAACCTCACTGAACCAACGTTCGTCACGCCCTTTTGCTGTTGCTATTGTTTAGAAATATCCGCACGCTGATATGCTTTATGAATATAACTCAAACATGATAAGCAGAGAAAAATTGCACAAATGCTTTTGAAATGAGGCGATCGAATTGAATGAGCTTTGTTGTTGTTCTTCCATTCAGGTTAATGGGTACGGCTATAAAGTTCCATCAGGAACTGCACGTTTTGAATAAAGATGTATGCTAGGAGGCCTGCTTCACACACTATCAGCCACCCCCAGGATATATATGAGTCTCTAACTTCCCATATTCATCACTACCCCTGGGAAATGTCGTATCATGACATAAGCTAATCCTTCCCTCCGGCACAGCTCACTTTGCCTGGCAAATGCACACATAATGAAGGAGGAAGCTAGCATCGATTCTGGCTATCTCCACATATGTATGTCTGCTTTCATTTGCGTGTCTGTTCTATATGCATACAGTAACGTTTTTGCATTGCATTCTTTTTTTCAGCCTGTGATGTGAAAATGATGATTTTGTGTAATAATATGTACACGCGCCTTTCCCACAATTAGGCCGCCATCTTTCTACTTTCTTTCATCTCATATAGTTATCGATTTACCCCATTTATAGTCTATCGTACCTTATCGTATTTAACCGATATTCATCCACATTTATGCATTCCAATAGTTATTAGTCTTACTACAAAGAGAACTGCCTTAGGTGGTAAATAAAGATTATTGTCATTACTTTGTATAGATTCCAAGAATGCTATTTTTAGTGTTACTAATTTGTTTAACATTATATTGATTATTCATATACTACTACCATAAACAATACTCTGGGTAGTCCGTATTCTGAAGCACAAGTTCTACAGACAGTTCTCCATGTTTGTAAACTACATCCGAAGACTATTACGTTGAGTGAGTAGGAAATCCCCAGCCAGCTGGTCTCGTATCGATATCGCGATAAGTTATTGTTTGAGAGGAAAATTTCTCGTCTAAGCCATTTTAATGACATATTAGGGTGCTTTTCGGTGGCTAATGGTCATATTGCACCCCATTGACCTTCCCGAATTAAACATTTATCTCAGAAGTCTCCGCGGGATTACCGTAAAGAGCACCTTGTGGACGGGATAGCCTGATCTTAATGGCGATTACCCCAACTTACTGTGGGAGGAGTTTTACATTCCAGTAGGGTAGAGCTCGTTAGGTCCTTAAGAATGCTCAAGACGCCAAGTACCGACAAGGGGAAGACATTACTGCAATTGGAAGATAAGAGCATCACTTCAATAAAGCAACAAGTAACGAACGCATCATATGCGTACACACAGAATGGAATCCATAGTGATGGTAAACTCAACACGACAAAGACATAATATTTTTATAGCATGTTACATTAATATGACTAACCACACTCTTCATTTTATCTGGGGCTGATAAATATGACACGGATCACTTGAAAGTCATCTTGTCTGTAATATATACTCACTATACTAATAGCAATAAGGATCTTTCGTTCGCTCGAAGGTGCACTGCCGTATGCAAGGGTCTCTTTTAATGTCATCCCCATAGATCTAAGTCTAGATCCCTTTCCCAGCCTTATCCACATCATTAGGCATTTGGCTGATATTATAGGGCAACAGCGTCCCCCAATTACTCCTGTAGATAAGACAGCCAAACAGTGGCCAGATGAGCCCCCGCGGAGGTTCAACTCAGAATCTCAATTCAGAACGTTCAGTGGATCAGCTGAAGGATGCTTCTATCGACCTAACATGACTTGAAAAGTTTGAAAATCTTTAGACTAGCGACAGAAGCTCCAAGGTAGACGGACGTGAGTGATTCTGGTGTCCGTAATGTACTGGCAGGAGTCGTAAGTCTGTGGTCTGGTGGCTAGAGACCCTGTGGCCATCCTGTGGCTACTCGTTCCCTATCATTTGTGCACGGCTATTTGTAAAAAAAAACCCGCAAGACAACGCCCAATAACTATCTGTAGCGGAACATATTCAATAATGTAATTATCGAGAAGTTGATGGAGTAGTCTCCAAGCGCTACACGTCAAGCCAAAGGTTATGTGTCAAGTGAACTCAAGTGAAAATAAATATTGTCTGTCCAGTATTTTGTGTGCGGGATACAACACTAGCAACAGCTGCCTTTGTTCCACGTGTATTGTATTGTTAAAATCTTAATAAATTAAAAAAGATTAAAAGGTCGTGTGTCGATATTCTGCACACTGCACCCCTCCCCCACCCACACATACCTTTCAGTTCAGCAATTGAGTTACGTCGGTATTACTTGACGATAACTTGTCGGATATACGTTATCCCCATATATGGGATCTGATGTATTTCAGCTGATTGAGGTGTGATTTCTTTCAACAGGGCCAATGAAGCCATGCAGTCATGCGGAAAATAAGGTCACCAGAAGTAGTGCACCGCAGCCTGTGTGTACATCTATAACCATGGTTATAGTCAAGGAACAATTGACAACACACATGGTGTAATGAGAGGAAATGAGAAAATGTCACGAACGTTAACTGTGATGAGATTTTCTTCCAAACCTTTGTAGACCCTTGACACTAGCTGCACTGCTTCCCTTACACTGTCATAAACCCTTAGATCCTGCTAAAGTCTATAAGGTAGCCTGGCGCTGAATTGCGTCTTTTAAATAATTATATAAACTCAAACGATCCTGCGGGAATCCACACAGACGAATGCCGAGTCACATTGCTTTTCACATCGCTTCATCTCGCAAACTTAACTCTTTCAAATACTTGTTCCTTTTCAAAGGAAGCCCTTTACCTTCTTTCTATTGATTTACCGTAACTGGCATGTTAGCTGATGAATACATTCATGAGTGCCTGTAAGAAGAAAGGAAGAAAACCAATTTCAAGTTCCTGCAGTGAGGAGAATTTTACGATGTGCTGTGAATGTACTCAATTCCGTGGATCCAATCACAACCTCTGTACCAAAGACAGGCGTTTATTAGATATCCCTGAATCCATCACGTTTTACACACTGTTCATTGCAGTTTTTGTTTTTTATTCCAACATGTAATCACCAGACGTGGTGACGACACACTCAAGTTTTTTCAACTTATATTAATGCCGCCACCAACACAGGGGACAAATACATTACAGGACAATACTCATTTACACCTGAGCTAAGTGAGGAAAGCCGTGTAAAGTGCCTTTCCCAAGGGCACAAGATCGTTGGCATGTCAGGACTCGACCCCGGGACTCTTAGTTGCCACACGACCCCACATATTGCAGTTAATGGCTGCCTGAAGCATTCTCAATTGATCTAATTCAAGTTTGGATGTGGATTTAGGGACCTAATGCTAATATTGAACCTCTTTTCAAAACATTGATACTGGTCAAATTACTTCCATTCCGGGTTAGGTAACTAAGGCATTTGTAGGACCTTTAGATATCGATTTATGACCACGAACGTGTATGCGTGAGTCAATGAACTCGATAAAGGAAACCATCGCCATTGGCAAACGATGCGAATCAAATTAAAACCTTCCCTAAAATTACCAATGTTAGGTAGGAATATTGTATGTAGTTTTCAAGTGTAATGTATGTCGAACCATGCACCCGCAGTTACTACATTTCGGTGGTTGTTTAGCCAAGTGCCTCAGATATGTGTATAAACGTCTTTACATTGCCTATTCCTAGACATCCAACGCAGTCTATACTTAATAATATTCTTTACATCTTGCTTTATTTCTAGACACCCAACGAAGTCTATACAGTCATCTCTTCGACAAATACAACAAAGCCTTACGCCCGTCCGAAACTCCTAACAGCACGCTGATAGTGGAGATCGGGGTAGAACTGACTCATCTCATAGACATGGTGAGTAGAACTTGCGGGTGCATTATAGATAGCAGTTTCCTCAGAAAGTAGCAATGCCACTACATGAAGCCCCCAGTATGATGAATAATGATGCTCTGCTGTAATGGTAAGTACACTTTTAGAATAAATAGCCACGACATTTGAAGGGACTCCTATTTTATAGGAGCGCTTTACGTAAGTGACCAGCTCATGAGAGAGGACATGCTCGATAAGGAATCTACCTCCTATCCATCTATTCGTACTGGTACATGGTGAAATTCAACGTCGACACTCGTACTGTATGAACATATAATCCCTTGTTGATGAATCATTCGAAAAGCCTGGTGTTCATCATTATAGAGAGTTAAAACAGGGGCCTGTAATTTCTTAGCTGGTTAGTCATGTTTCAAACGTATGAGTCATTTGGAACCAACCCTTCATCTCACCCTCGGCTCATCAAATGACACTATCAATTTTACAACCAGTATTCAGCAAAATGCCCATAATTACACGGTCATAACTTCTGTCGTCGTGATCACATTTTGTTTGACGCCATAAACCAGATACCTATCATTCCGGTAGTAGTGAAACAAGTAAAATTGTTACAATATATAATGATACATTTATCCATCCAATAAAGTCTGGAGAGAAAGCTGGACAATGATAAAACGTAAAGTGTAAAGCGCGTTCCACAATGACTGCTAATGGCATTGCATCCCTCGTGGGATGTTGTGCCAATTAAAGCTCTGGTGGCTGGAGAGAACACAGACTGTTTTTGAGCACGTATGGAAAACATTTCAAGTCGGTCTGCTGGCTGGCTGGCTGGTTGGCTGGTAACTTATTACATGGCGTATTTTATTTCAACAAAGTCGTTATCAAGACTACCGAGGCCTTCATCGTCTATCTAAATCAACTTCATCTCGCTAGGGAGTATATTAGACTTTATCTGATTATTTACTGATAAATTATGAAATGTTGCCACATTTCTATCTTCATTGTGTCTAAATAGAATTAACCATAATGATGATGTAAGCCTTGTCATCCTGGATGGTTAACTCAGTTTATGTCTGCGTTCCTGATCACTTTCGTAATGATTGAATAATTCATTATGTCTAATGATGAACATGAATGTGTGCCTGTACATCCCTGACCTTAACAGGGTATCTTCCATCACTATTACAATGTGTTTCTGTTTGTTCTTTTATTTCTAGAATGAGAAGCATCAAACGTTGACAGCAAACTTATGGCTAACAATGGTGAGTTGATGGTACTTCTATATTTTTCCTAGAATAAATGCAGCTGTGTTTTTCCTCGCCAGAATTGAAATACATTTTGTCATCATCAGAATCAGTATTGTAGACAAAGGGGACCAATATTCATCAAATTGCTGTGATCGATGATTTTTGATATCCACACAGGCGCGGGAATATTACAAGAGAGCAGCTGTAGCCCTGTAATTGAAAATTGAGCGGACGTCCATGAGTATATATAGCCGCGGAGAAATACGGCCTGTGGAAAGCATGTTAGCAACGAACAAGCACAAATGAAATGCTTTACGGGAGGGAAAATGTAACTAACGGGCAAGTTTCACGAAGTAACGGGCAATTTTTGCGACAGGTGATCGAATTCGAATTTTGTTCCGTTCAGAAAGTCCAATTCCGGCCACATTGAAGGAGACCCTCGCATCTGAAGTACCGCCACACCTTCAGCACCAAGGACACGGACATACGTACATCTGAATTTGTCATTAACTTGATACAACCACTAAGTGTATCGTTGTTGTTTATTTGCTCCTAGTGTGCATTTTACAGACTAAATTATACCTTATCCAATCCTATCATAAGAGTTAAAGCATAACATATCTGTCGACTTTTGTGACCTCTGACCTCATAGGCAATGACCTCTGACCTCCGTCACCCTTTGCTCTCACCACACGTGGAACTACTGACACGGAAACTTCCGAAGATTACACTGCGGCAACTTCAATCCCGATTCCCTGAATTTTTTTTTATGATGTCACCAGACATAGGCTTGGAAAGGGGTGAGGCATTTGAATGTTTAAAGATATTCAACTTCTTTAGCAATACATTTTAGAGGGCTTTCGTTTCTCTCTGGACTCGCCGTTTATAACAACAAAGGTATGAAATACACCCATAGACTACATTGAGAGTTCAAGGTGGGAGATGATGTAGATAGACCGCCTGTAACCTTCTCGCCAATCCCATCTGGACAGACACTGACGTTAATGATCCCAGCAGTTTTATCCTATAGTATTGATGAATTCTATGGCTTAATGAGACGAGAACCTCAGCCATTAACACATATCACCCATCATTCTTCATGACCGCAAAATGAGCTTATAAGCATGATGCAGTCCATCCAGAAGATCTTATTAGGGGACGTTATTGTCGTGACCTAGTTTCTGCAGCAACTGGTGAGTCACAGATAATTACCATATCCATCAGACAGGACCAGCTGGGTCACCCGGACAGGCAGCCGACAGACGTGCGTCAGAACTATCTCTCAGTGATGGCACTTTCCGTCTGGAAACTTTATTGAGTTTGCCTTCTGGAATGACTTTCATCTTCGGTGAAGTAGCTGCTACAGAAAATTGTTCTTATATTAGGTTAATTTAATACTACACGAAGTACAAAGCGCACTCACTACCTGTATCAGCAAGGTCCCTATGGTTCAGGAGGAGACAAAGTTGACAAGATATTACACCAGAGAGAAGTTGAAACAAACTTGAGCTTGCATTTCAGATTCCTGTGATTCGACAACTATTGTTTCCATTGAGCGGTTAGACTTACGGCTTTTCTGTGTTGGTAGTTACATGTTTAAAGTTAAAACGTTTGTTCCAACACAAGGGATTGTTCTCACCAGTCAGTCACTCTAGTCTTCTTCAATGGACTAACTCAGTGAGCTTTGAAGACCAGTGTGACTGGTCGAAAGCTCTTGGTAAGAAGAATCCCTTGTGTTGGAACAAATGTTTTCGTTTTTCCTTAAACATGTTATCTATCTTTTGTCTTATATTACATTATCGTTCTTTCGTCTGTCCATTTGCTCCGTTCTTCCATCTACTCCAGGGTTGGAACGACACGTACCTGCGGTGGAACGCGTCGGAGTGGTCCGAAATCACTACCTTAACAGTCCCGGACAGCTACGTCTGGAAACCAGACATCATGCTGTACGAGAAGTACGTGCAAACGCTTCTTATTCAACTAATGTATTCATTTTTAAAGCTCTCATTGGGTAATAAAAACAGACAATTTGTCGTCTTAGTAAGATTTACTCTGACAGATAGCGGTATCTCTTGGAACCAAGTGCAGAAGATTCGCCTTTAGGGGAATACGTTTCCTATTGTGTACAATCAGAAATTCCAGGAGGACAATAATGCATGATCTGGTAATCCCATGTGTAAAATATGCGCTAGAAGAGCGTGTGAGGCTGTGCATGAGTTTTTACAGATAAGGCTGACGAGTGCTTCATTTCCAAACCTACATTTTTAGAAACCCCTTCTTACACAGAAACCCACTTCCCCTAGACACGGTAGGAGCCCCTCATGCAACAGCTTCGAGCAACAGTTTCGTTCCACAGAGGGAACAGGATCCGTCATGGCCGATGCGCGCAAAAACTATGCAGAATGCTGCAATGCGACATTCACGTCTGTTATGCTGTTGTGCTTTCGGTGAAATTGATTCATTCTTCGAGACTTCTACTCGCATGCTCTGTAAATTGCAGATGACAGGCACTAACAGCCTTCTAACTTAAGCCTATTTGATGCTGCTCACATCAAGGTTTATGAAACTAAGCCTATTACCGGCCTCTCTCAAGGCACCATATTCTTCAATGTTTAGATCATTATCTTTCGATTCCTGGCTGCACAGGACAGACGCACAGCACAGCTCAAATCCTTAGTGATTACCCTGTAGTACTACCGGATTACATTCCCAGTGGAAACAGCAACAGAATACAACATGTGGACTATCGGATCAGCCACTGATCCACCCTCCCTGCACATGGACGCCGCGCATACGTCCTGCCAATCATCTCAGGACTTCAGCTTCCTTTTACTGCGTGTTGACATCCTAATTGCATTGACAGGAGCATTAGTCAAAAAGTAAAGACAAAGATTCCATTAGCAAACAGACTATCTGCAATGTCACAAAAAACATTGCCCTATAGCCTAATGCTTTCACATTTTCAACGTGCTTTTTTCTCAAAAACGAATTTCATTCCTCTATACAATGCATCCTACGACGCTCAAAGATACGAGTAGTATTCCACATTTGAAAAAAATATATATGTGAAAATAATTGTAAAACTTTGGTACCCCACCTTCAGGTCCATGCTTCATTTATCATCAAGACAACTTTTTTTAGAGAAATCGATACAGCACACAGCGCCCAATCCCTCACCACCACCAGGGCTATACTTCTCCGCGTGGGTTTATTGCTGATGAAAAGTGTGTCCGTACACCATAAAATGTGACAATGGCGCTCTTTTCCGCCTCATATGTTGTTGAACACAAAGGACAGGAAACCAATATTATGCTGTATTGGAGACCGCCGAGGTATAATAGCCTCAGGACAAAGGATATTGGTCATTGCCAATAAAACTGCCGATGTAGCTTCAGAAGGAAATTCTTTTCTATCCTGATAATGAACATTAAGGCCCCCAGGGACTACCAACAATACCTGTGTTTTCAAGATAGTCGAATCCCTGTCCCGTCTGTTAATATCTAGAACACGTTCACTGATATCAGAAATAGTGTGCATTTCACTTGCTATTTTTGGCATCTTTCGTCAAACTATTTTAAGGATATTGTTCAAACCTATCCTGATCGCGATTGTAATTAAAACCGTTGACAGCTTCAAATGTCATTGATTCTATCTATAGATATTGAGTCGGTCACAGCTGACCCGTTGTGTGGTGTCTAACAGCCCTCACAGTCTGACACACTTCTCCGTGTGATAGTCTATCTGTTATCATTTGACATACAGTGTCATGGTAGCTCTGCGCAAGTCACCTTTCTTATTTTCACTGAAGTTGCCATTTCCCAATAGATGCATCAAAATAATAGAGATTAGAGTGGTTCTGAACATCATTTTGTACCAGCAATTTCACTCAAAAATTGCTGTCCGTTCAATATTGGAACTGTGAAACAAATGGACCATTTGGGTCAGTTCAATGTTCCGTGTAACAAGGTTACTGGAAATACAGCTGCTAAGTCTTGTAATATGAGCAGAGGCCATCTAAAGAGCAGATGGGTACAAGTTGATGTGCATGGCATGTCCGATTCAATAACTTCAACCATACATCTATGACAGTGCCCACTATCACGTATACTACCATCCTAACAGGCAACACAATAAGTTTACATGTGTTTTATCTATTCCCTGTTCCACAGTGTAGACCAGTATTTCAAAGGATGGTCCAAGTCAGAGACGTACGTGAAGCTCCGTCACGACGGTTACGTGTTGTGGGAGATCCCAACCGTTACTCTGTCGTCATGTCAGGTACAAGTATTAAACAGTGGCCTGTGTTTGTGCCTTATACATGTTTTATATGACAGCAGTTGTTGTCAAAATTTATTCCAGGGTACTATCCTGCGGGCCAAAAATGCTCGATGTACCTTGTGATCTAACTTTTTAACTTCCTAACTTGTAAGATATGATTTCATATCTGACTAATGATAACAGGAGCCATAAGTGGAGAATGAGTCAGATTGTTCTGGATCCCGTCACAGGTGAATGTGTCGTCCTTCCCGTTCGACCATCAGAAGTGTCCGCTGAAGTTCGGTCCGTGGATCCACAGCAGCTACGAAGTGGAGATGAGAAGTATGGCGGCGAACGGCAGTCTCCAGTACTTCATGGTCAACGCCGAGTGGCACGTCGTGTCATTCGAAGCGCACACAAACAACAAAACCTACGGAGAGTCCTTCGATATCGGCACTCCCTACTCCGACGTTACGTTTGTCTTAGAATTCGAGAGAAAATCGACTTTTTACGTCTTTAACTTGTTGCTGCCTTGTCTGCTGTTGACCTATCTCATGTCGACCATGTTTTACCTCCCCCTGGAGACGGGAGAGAAACTGTCTTTTGGCGTGTCTATTCTGCTCGCTATTGTTGTGTTCCAGCTGGTGCTGAATGAGGTTCTGCCTGAGTCAGAAGACCTCCCCTGGATAGGTGAGGGTTAGAAATAAAGACTACCTTCATTTTCTGGTCCGCTGCGTTTCAAGGGTAATGCGCCGAGGACCGCGGTAATGACGGCAATACAGATTAAGGTTCCTCCATCATTTATACGAATTATCTTAATGTTGATCAGGAAATTGTGCTTGAAATTGGCCTGGATAATGTCTGAAAATCCTTTTCACTATACAAGATGGGTCATGCAAACACTTAGCTTTGGCATAACAGGATAGCTGCTCAATTAATCAAGATTCCCCCACAACCAGACACTGGGTATACAGCGACGACTGGCGGTTAAGTTCTGAATTACCAACGTAACGACTCCTCTTTGTTTCTTTGCAGGTCGTTACGTGATCCTGGCGATGATCATGATGTCGGTGTCTCTGTCCCTGTCTGTGCTGGTGATGAGCGTGTGTGACTGCTCCATCACCGTCAGACCCATGCCGCACTGGGCCCGCACCGTGTTCCTCAAGGTCCTGGCACAGATCATGTTCATGGGAGACTTGTCCAACGACCACCCGACCAACCTACAGACGGACGATACCGAGACATTTCAGATGTCAGACCTCAATATCAGCAGCAGTCTGTCAGAGAGAACCACGACACCCATGGAATCTCAAGACCAGTCTGAGTACCAGGCCGGCGCGGAGATTCTGGCGTCCAACTTGAGAAGCATCGAGCGGAAACACAGCTTCCTCATCAGCTACATGAAGGAGCTGGACAGAAAAGAAGAAGTTCGCAAAGAGTGGAGAACCCTGGCTAAGGTCCTGGACAGACTCTTCTTTTTCATTTACATCATAACCTCTACGGTTTGCCTGGCCGCGTTTGTCGCGTACGTGTGAAACATGGCAGCATCGTCACAAATAAAAAGTTGACAAACCTAGCCTACTTTTTGTAACATCAGCATCTCCCCATGAAGCACAAAGATGTCGGACATTCCAACACATACCTACATCTGTGTGAATAGAAATAATTCTCATACAGTTCATTATAAGTCTTGATGTCATCGGCATCTTGATGCGGCTCAAATATTTGTAAATAGCTACCACTAACCTGCACAAAATCACTGTAGAAGCAAGACATGTGACCTTAACAAGAGGGCCATCCACTTTGACTTGATTTGTGTTTATCTACTTATTGCGAAATTTTAGAAGTGTTACTGGAGAAATAGATCTGAAGGGGAAGACAGTTTGCCCTAAAGTCAATGCTACAGTTTCTCAAGACTATTTGCTATGATACAGAACAGTAACTTTTACGATGTTCACTTATGATTAGCTGTTAGCATTGAGTCTTTTTCAATTGCATGTCATTGTGATTCTTGAAAACTAAAACTCTGTCTTTCAAGGGTGGGAGGGAAAAGTGACTTGCAATGTAAACAATGACGTTAGTTGTCCTAGTGCTGCTATACAACTGTACGTGAACAGCATCACACAATAAAGGGAAACTCGCCCAACTCGTTTGAACCTGCGTCCAGCGTCTGTGGTTATGATACATCCATATTATGATACATCCATATAGCAAAACTGCTATCTGGCGGTTTCATTGAGAATTGCAACCCGCGCTTTCCCACACCATGCTTGGTAAATGATAAATTCTACCCACCCTTAACTCTACGTCCTGTCACTACTTCCTGACTTTTTACCCTTCGCTACTGCCACTGCACTCTGTGAGACATGCCCATAGATATGTATATATATAGCATATGGAATAGTTCCAGAAACAAACAGACACACCGCACATTAATATTGACACACCTTACACGGAGTCGATAAGAAAACTTACTTATTCCAGCTCACTCAGCAGAACAGCTGACAATTTCAGCTCATTATAGATAAGAATTTTCGTTTTTCCAGTTTGTGTTATCAGTGGCCACACGGTGCCCTTACAATAAACCCCGGTTTAAATATCCACACGTCATCGCCAACAAAAACACGTGACAGTAAAGACAATGATCCCATCATGCTATGTCGCAACGTCGGTTCTCAATTTACAACGACCGTCGATTATTTTGATCAAATGTTCCGTCTTAATTCAGTTATTTGCCGTCTTTTAGCATCTGTCAAAAACTATAGCTGCTCATTTACATTTCCACTATAACGGCATTCAGGGCTTTGTCTGAATGTACATGTATTGTTGTAAGTACGAATGCCATATGGCACATAGCATTGTCGTTAGCCAAATTGTGTAAGTGATCTATGTAGGTCATCTATTGATTGCTTTTTGTTCAATGACAATGCCGATAGCACCGTGTTTTATTTGGGTCTACTTAACCATTCTATTATGTATACATCCCGTCCGATGTATCATCGTAAAAATAGTCATATTCGTAGCATGAGTTACTTGTCATTAATGTATTAAATGGGTCAGTCGAAGAAATAAAAAATCATCCATTTAGTTGATAAACCCACTAAAAGCCGGGGAATCTGCTGATGTAGTTATTTATCAAGCAGAGGGTTATGTGCTTACCACGGTCTTACCCATGTGTGTGGAAAGTTAATGTGCTGTCTGTGTGCAAATTGAACGTTGTGCCTTTCATTACATGGTGAGAATGCTTTAAGCGCTCAGGACCTGTCCCACTATCATGGAAGTCCATTGGAAATCACTAATGTGTCAGTCGAACTCATTATGACCAGCCCACTGGCACTGCTATATCCTTGAAATTCCCCTGCTTGAAATTATAGTTCTGAAGGAAGCACAACGATCGGTAAGGTTTATATAGAAGTGCCAAAATCCACATTGCCATGTCCTAGGGCGATATCGCCACTCATACATATGCTGAGATATCAAGTAAGAAATCATTTTTACAATTTCGCCCCACTTCTGTTATCAACGTGTATTCATATACTGAATGGTCCTTCCGGAGTCAAACGTGTTTAAATTACGTATTGATATGGAGGGATAATGAAGATATCTGTGGATAGATTTTAATTAAGGACTGTCAATCTTACTGAGATACAGTTGTACTCCTGAGATCTTTATGCATGAGATGCTTCATTTGTTGTTCTTACCACTTATAACACCATCGCTCGGGGACATTACTTAATGTATACTCTCAAATTACATTATCACTATTGTAATTGATGGTAATGGGTTTTGCTTTTCCTGCTTTAGTTATTTGAAAGTTACGAAAAGAAATTGCAGATATATTCCGAAGTGACGCATTCCCACAGGCCTAGTCTTAATGGCTTTAACTTATTAATGAAGCAATCTCCGGTAAAAACAGAATGTTCCAATGATTGATGATCAGTCTCACAGTTCTGAGAAGCACATTGATTCAGCTGGCACACTGTGTGTAGATCTGTGGACAGCTGTCAGTAGGGCTTCTACTAATGCGCAAATCGTAAGTGAGGAAATTTAGATGGACGATAGGAATGGCCTGCGTCTGTTAGTGACGGAGACCTGGCTGTAAACGAACCGCTGATTGTTGTCGGCAGTGACGGCAGAACGGCGCTATGATGCTGCGACGGTGACTTCTGCCGGATACATCATACTGTAAGTTGGGAACAGTTAGATGCGTTTGATGATACGATGTTGTGTATGTACATGTCCCAGAAAATCTCGCGGATCTCTTCTTTTGTAAAGCAATGGCAAGTCTTTTCTCTATCTTTTCTTGTAGTTTGAATGCTCGTGCGATGAAGTGTTAAGCCTTTGAAGCAATGTTTGCAAATACTTCTTATTCACATGAGGGGGGGGAGATTACAACAACCAGTGAATCCCAAAACATTTTCAACTGACGACAAGTATACCAGATCCTCACTCATGACGCTTTGATCTGAGCGCAACTTTGAAACCTGAAATAGACTAACCGTTGAGATGACATTGTCGCATTAGCAGTGGTGAGAACTGCATGCCTAATTAAATCCACTAGTTTTCTATATAATACATACATTATACCTGTTAGGACTATACTATTGTTGCAAAGCACTAGTGGGCATTTTAGCATCATAATTGATACTCGAAGATCAAAGCTGTCCTGAAGGATCATGCAGTCTTCAATCAGTTTTTCAATCACTGAGTTAAGTAATACTGCCGTTCTACATTAAGTTTTTCTATCTCATCTGCACTGATATTTATCTAAGTGACATTGATAGATTTTTTAAATTAGTGCAGCACGACATCGACCTACATATACTGTAGCTACCAGTAATCCTTACAGACAGTAGGTGTTTGAATAATCAGTACGAAAATAGCAGGTACAATGTACTTTTTTTGTGGTGAAACACCAAACATGATGTTAACTGGCAACTGTAAATGAAAAGGTATAGAGGATACTATTGCATTTGCCTGGTTCTCGTGCGGGAATATTAGGCCATTGCACAAAGTCAAAGGTAGCGTATAATTATTGGCTAGAGTAACATTTTCATGCGAAATCATTTAAACCATCGATGTACATAATGGCATGTGTCCACACTGGCACTGCACAGCGATCATACAAACCATGGACTTAACAGGAGACAGAAAGACGAAAAGAGATAGGGGAGAGAGGGCTAGGGTTAACTAGAGATCTAGAGAGAGAGAGAGACTTTTGACCTGATATATGCCATTCGCGTGACTTTTATTCCGTCTACATTCTCAAAAAAAATGAACGGATGATACTTATCCACGCTGGCATTTCTGTCAATATCTTCGGCACAGATATTCTATTAGACTGATTTTATCACTCCTTTTCGTTTCTTGTCTTATCTATAACAGCTTAGTAGTTAAATGATTTATTCAATATAAAGATCAGATCACATATCATCGGAAAAAACGTATGGATTCTGTCGTGTAAGTTAAGACCCCAAATGTAACGACTGATGCTGATATTTCCAACGTTAACCATACGATAAAGTATCTCATTTTATCTCATCGTCTGTGCCGTGAGTGATACTGGCGAGGAATAGATAGGACCAGACGTTGAAGACAAATGTGTCCAACCGGCAACCCCCTTACGGCAAAGCCTTACCATCGATCTATAGACGCGCCTGGCCCCTCTAAAAGGCACAGGGATTATCTCTCAATTTTGTTAAGTACGATATGCTTCACTAGAATGTTAAAATGTCTGTGGAAACATTCGAGATATTTCAGTTATAGGAGATATAGTTATGATAGAACCACAGGAACAATAGCCGAAGTGTAATTGCAAACTAGATTGTGGATCCAAAATTTTAAGTTATCAAAAAGTTATCAATGTGATCCAAGGACGAACAGTCACCATGTCATCCCACTTTTCCATGTGATCCACATAAATCATTTACTAGTATACAAAATCCAGTATTTATTACGTACATTGTATTCACGTGCAAGTGGTGCCCTGGCAAAGTTAATGGGGTTGTGGTGATAAAAAGGGCAAGATAAGAGCCACTTTTGTTGTTCACTTTTGGAGGAAAACAGCGTTAGTGAAATGTGAGATTGCCATGACTGTTGCTTATCACCAAAACTCATTAGCTTCATGCCATGATATTTCAGAGAGTGCTACTTTGTTTCGTGTGTTGTGAAACGTGATCGTGCTATTGCCGAGTGCGTTATGGTATCACTTTCAATTCGACAGCTTTTCTATTTGGTGGATATTGTAGACGACCAACCATATATTAATACGGATATGGAGGGCACTTTGCTGTATAAATGACTTATCTGTCGTGCAGAGCATGTGAGTTCAGGACTGATCGACGCACTTTTCCACAGATACAGGGTTAGACCTTACGATAGCAGGGCTCAGTTCGGGCTCAACGCTACCATTACTTGGCAATACCGACACTTATGACGTTGGAATTCTCCCAAGTGTGGAGTGAAGTCGGCAAGTACATCTTCAGAAATGTCAAACCCATTCACCTTTCGCTTCCCACGCCCGTAGCCCGTTATT